GCAAACATGGCGGTTTGCGCTATGCGTTAAAACGCTGATAGTTCGAAAACGGTAAAAGATAGAACATCGGTTAAAACGTCGTTGTAATCCTAAAAATGTGGACAACAATAATGGTCATTGGGTCCGAGGTCGTATCTCTATAAATAAACAAGTTATTGTATAAAATATGTAAAAATGGACTTTTCGTGTAGATTTTTTACCGAAAGTAGAATTAATTTGTGAGTGTCGCAAAGAAGTAATATCAAATATCTTTGCTGATAGTTGTAATATGGACTGTGGTGATACAAAATACGCATGTCGCCTACTTTTCAGGTGGTCGAGAACTTGGGGGGAGGGGGGCAAAGATGGCGGAACACGCTATACATCGAAATGACTGTAGCTCAAGAACGGTACGAGATAGGATATCGGTTAAAACGTAGTTTTCATCCAAAAAATATTACCAATAGAAAAGGTCATTGGGTAAAAAGTCGTATCTTAACTAATAAAAAAGTTATAACAATAATAAGTTTAACAAAATCTACATCGTACAGCTATTTTTTTCCTCCCCCCCACCTTATCGACCACTTTTGAAATAGGCGACATACGTAATTTTGATCACCACAGTCCATATTACAATAATCAGCAATAACATCGCGTACTACTTTCATGCATGCTCAACCCCCCTCAGCTCCTGGACTATCAGGGCCTTCCCAAACACAGAAATAAGACGAGGGGATTTATTCTGCACTGACAGGAATCCGGCCTAAAATGGAATAATCCTTTATTCATGAAGTTGTTGTTTGCACAAACGAGAATGATGTAATGCAAGATAATGTATATTACAACAATTTAATTTAGAAAAACTGTGGATTGCAATTATATTAAATTAGATGCTGTAATCAGCTAATGACACAGTTTCGTTTCGATTGAAAATAAACGACGATCTAAATTCATTTCAAAGCTAATTACATGTTTTGCATTTTAGAGTATTATGAAATTGTATTTTGAAAGCACAAACTTATACAAATATACCTACAAAATACATTGTCTAAAGTCTATTAAGTGATGTAATACGGTAAAATCTTGATAATAATACTCTCATAGGTATTATAAAATAAGACTTGTTATCAAGGTTGACTTCTTATCGAGGTCTGCAATAACATGTGATTAGGGGTAAAATAATTTCAAGATTTGAAAATTAACCTTATTAAGGGTGACTTGTTATCGAGCCTCTGCTGTAAAATAAGTGTGCATTTGTTACAAAAAATATTAAAACAAATATCTTTCCCACAATCTAGTGTACTCAATAAACTGATTTGAAATGGCAATTTGAGAAATCGAAAGTATTAACCGTTGTGTAAAGGTGGGGGGAGAGGCCAAACGCCTTACAACTATTTCAACGACCCCAACTATTTCCCTACAAATTCCTACAAAGAGGAGAAGTCCAATTATTTCCCAAGTTAGACATTCCCCAACAATGTTCCAAGGTGCAAGTAGACGTTATAAGGTGTCTCCTGTATAGTGTATGTCTCCTGACTGTATACGTCTTAACTGATTCGTTAGGGTATCTGATACTACGTTAGGTACGTACGTAGATATTATAAGTAACTCCATCGAAATTCCATTTAATGATTCATTTTGTTAATCAAAAAAGCTACACAAAAAACCCACTCCATTCTGAACTCATCCTTCATTCACATAAGGTTAAAAATACCACCACCGCAGCAAACCTGCAGACTAAGAGAATTAAATTTTCCAAATTTAATTCCACTTAGATTCTACTAAAATAAAATTAGGTTTAACAAGTACCTAGGGTTTCTGCTAAAGGGAGAGTAATAGTGTGTTTTTTTAAAATATTAGTAGCTTAGTATAGAATAATTAAATTTGCCAAGTTTGATCTAAATATATTAATAAACAAGCAAACTACGACAGTTTACTTTCTCCATAACAATAACATGGCAATTTTAAATTTGCAATAACCGTATACCTAATCTTAAACTCTTTACTAGACCATTAAAAAAAGGTTAACAATTTAACCGAACGAGAAATCAACTAACTCAAGCTCTGGCGAAGTTTCAAAATTTGAGACACCAAGTTTCTATGAGCCGAATTCTAAAATGCCGGCGAAACGTCAAGAGGAACAAACAATAAATAAAAATTTCCGCAGAGAACAAAAGCAAACCTCAGCTACCAAAATCCACAGTCGCTTAAACCACAGTCAATGAATAAATCATAGATTACGGCCAGTGCAATGAAACCACTAGACCACAAAGCAATGCACGTAAAATTAATATACGATATTATAGACTACTGTACTTTAAACTACGATTGTCGATTAGCTTTGTCCAGATTCAATGTACAGCTTTACTGAAAAGATTCAGTTTTAAAGTGCGTTACTTATCGCATTGTATAACTAACATAGATATTTATACAGCGTGTATCGTAAAAACAGCCAACCTCCTAGAAACGGGTTTAGGGGGAAAGTGAAAAGATAAATAAGAATATTTTTTCTTTCTAGGAACATAAATATTAATATTGCCAACTAATATTGTTTACATAAACATTTATAATCGGTGATTTTCCAACCGAACTTTAAACTAGGGATGTATTTCAACGTATAATATACCCACGTAAAAAACACTTGGCCCAATTTGAAGTTTCAAAATGGCGGAAAACCCACTTACATCATAACTTTAATTTACTAATAAATGACATGTGTTAAGAAACATTTTAAGAACACTTATTTAGCATTTAAAATTGTCTAGTGGGTCGATAGCAAATTTAAAATGCTAAAAGGTGTTCTTCTGTATCATTCATCACAGTATCCAAGAGTGTTTCTGACACTCTTCTGACAGCATTGGATCTCGCGTTTGCACAGCTGTTTGTACTTCACCAAGCACAACTGTACTTCACCCTCGTACTGCTACTATACTTCACACACACACACACACGCACAAAGTACTCATTGAAACAACCGCACTATACCAATCTATACTCGGAACTTGAAGGTGATTCACAAACTCGAGAGTTCGGGTTTTACGTTTCCGGATGGCGACTGACTCATTTAATGACCACCTTGATTTTGTTTCAGATTCATTTGTACCCCGCATCCTTTGGTCTCGTTTCGAGCGTCAATTTATTATTACTGTTTATCTAAGTACACGTACGTGACTACATGTTTTTGTGTAAAGGAAGAATAAAACTCAACACCTATTGGCAAACCTCATTTTCCAGGAACTGGTTTTATGACATGGTTTTACCTATAGAAATATAAAAGTAATTTTACACCAATCGTATTCAACTATGAGCTCAGGAGTTGTGTATATTAGATTAGATTTCAACGACGCAGACATGACAATGAATTAGACGACAACTTTTTTTCTCCTAAGTAAGATATTTTTTCCTAAATAATTTTAGCCTACACGAGCACGATGAAAAAGAAAAATTGGGCCCAGTATTCAACCTACATACCGAAAAACTTCTGACCCTCTCTGGATCGTAATAGCAGACGAACACAATTTTTTTCTTCTCCTGGAAGGGGCGGGTCCAGCGAACATAGAATAGGAATTTGTATTCTGTGTGTCCCTGGGCGGGTTCCAAGGTGCTTCATCCGGAAGTGTCGGATTGTAGCGCTCCTGAGGGTTGACGGTACTATCGAAAATCCAAACTTGGGGATTTGTTGGGATTGAACCTGAGACCTCGGGGACCGAAGTCTGCGCTACCACTAGACATGCTTACTTACTTGTCGACTACTGTATCCACTCGAATATTATCTTTTTTCGATGTTTTACAATTCTTCGATGACTAAATTAACAATCATTTTAGGGTTGGCATTAATAATCAATGCATACACATTACATCTCAAAGGGTAAAATATCCTCACTAACATGTTATGTATGATTCTTATTTTTCCTTTGCAACGCAACAGATCAGACGGATGATTAAAGTTAGTGAATTGCAAATATTCACTCACACATGAGAGCTGACCGTGGTTGTGGTGTGAACGAGACCAAGCCCGCAATTTGGAGGTAAACGGCCGTGGTTCCCGCCAATCCGGACAGCGCAGGAAATACTTTACCGAACAATAGCCTATCACATCAGCACTACTGTAGGATACTCTCACATCACCGGGTAACTACTTGACAATGGAGGATATGCACTGCTAATAGAGAACAAATTGGTAAAATGGAAATCAATGGCAAAGTATTCTGGTGAAATCCTCCTAGGTGGTAACGAAGTTACGATAATAGATTTAGAATAGTTAAGCTAAAACCCTAGCTGTAATTCAAAAATATAATTTTTTCTATAAATACAATTTTGTTAACACTTTAAGACTTTTCAGGTTTTTGTAAAAACATGATTAATGTTACAGAATGCGTCAATAGAATTGTATTTTTACATAATAAGAATAATTCCTAATAAAAACTATTCACTCCTTTTGGTAGGGTGCATCATGAAGGAAATGAATTTCGTCCTCAATTTCTTACATATTTGTTAAAAGAAAAGAAAAACGTTTCTCTTTAGCTTTGTAAAGAAGGTGAAATCTTATCTTTATCATAACAGAATAAAGATAAGGTATGAAGGAGGATTGTTCCTGGCATTTGTCCATCGTACAGTTTATCTCTAAAACAAGCTGTGTCAGAAAATGTTCAATAAGTTCGCTATCAATTATAAGAGTTCAAACAGCGTAACAATTAATTCATCGTTTGCAAGAAAAATGTATCAAGTTCAAAATGAAATCTTACGACGGACAACAAAATTTACGCTCGGTAGTATTATGGTATTATAGTCAAAATCAAATGGTCTAGTCCAAAAGTAGTAGAGACATAAACTGAACTATACCAACACAAACACAACATTAACGGCAAAGGAGTTGCATAACAATAGTAAACATACAGATTGTTTGTTGTTACTTCTACATAATTCAATTGTAATGTGATTATTTTCGTAGCATTCCCCGGTACAACCACTTGTAATTCTTCCAGTAATTATAACCAAGGTTAAACAAGTTAAAACTTTACCTTTTTTCCATCGCGGAACTTGACTGTCCCTTCGATGATCGTGTTAGTATCCATGGTTTGAGGCACAGTCACTAAGTTCACTAGAAACAAGAAACACACACTACAATAACTGGATTTTGTTTCACATCGCAAAACCAAACAACGACGCCGAGGCAGAATCTACGTCCTCTCCTCGGCACGGCTAGCAGACGACTGAAGCGCAACAATCCAACAATGAGCGACACTAGCGCTACATGTGGCGTCTCGCGGAACTACCGGTATCTGTGTTATCACTGGACTTGACTTGGACAACGATACACGTAAAGATTAATTAATTAAAGAACCAGTTAAAAACCGGCTTTAGACTTTTTAATGTAGGATTATACTGTACATTTACAAGCAATTACTACTGTCTTTCAATACTCATCTGCGAGTTACTGTACTTGAAAATGAAAATTATTGAAAATGTATACCTAAAAGATATATAAAGATAAAAAATAAATAATTAGTGTTAACATTATTTGTCACTACATTTCTTGAAATTACGCCCTTATATTTGTGTATAAGGATATTGTCCCTGTAAACTAAATACTATTAATATGATACACATTTATATCTAATTCAATATAGTAATAGATAATCTTAATTAACCATGGTTTCACTCCAACACAAAAACATAACCGACATTAGAGGTGGCTGTGAACCAACACAGTTTGGATTACAACTTTATGAAGATATTTTTTTACACAAAAGGTAATATTATTTATTATTATACTGGTGACCAAATATAAACAAAATACAATTTTAAGAACCATCTTATATAGAACTGACTGTGTGAAATGCACTATACTACAGTATTATTTTTAACATTTAAACTATCATTGACTATGACTTTACCTATTTATTGTAGTTTACGGTTGTTCATCTTCTGTAATTCTAAGACGACTTTTGAAATAATTTACAAACCATCACCCATTTCTATCACAGCCATCCTTTCATTTGGATTTGGTTTCTGAAAAAAATAAATTAATATAATCTATTAATAGTTAGTCTATTGTTTGTGGTAAAACTGATTTACCCACAATAACCTTCTGTCTGATCTTCTATATAATAATGATGTCCACTCTTACATGACCAGACATCGCTCAAATGTACATATAAGTAGTAATAGATTAAATATCTTATATTTCTGTTACAAGTGTTCAGTTTTTAAATGCCCTCCCTGGTATTGTACGTTTCCAAAGATCCAAATTCATATCCATTGTGAACAACAATGAACAATTGGCTTGATTTGAACCCATTTTACCAGTTTTACGAGTTTTTTTTATGCCTTGAAGGCTACACCAAATTTAAATACCTACCTAAATTGTTGTATGTATACTGAAAGAAATGTTTGTTTGACGATGAATTTTTTTGCTGTTTTAAGTTTTGACAGAAGTGCAGTTGGTTTGGTTTGCAGTGGACTATTTTTATGTTTTATTTTTAATGAAAAGTCTGAAATATTAATTTAACTTTAACATATTTGACTAAGCCTGTTGTAAACCGCTTAATATCGGAAATAAATCCTGAATCTCCGCTTAATTTTAACAATCTTATAGTTACAGACCTTACTGTTTCCAACCTTCAAAGCTTCAATCTCTTTCTTTCGCAATCCACGCTTATTTTGGTTTCATAATTATCAAAAACCTTCGTAGCTGTCCACCTTAGCCATTCATAGCCATACTGAGTGTAAAAGACTCTATTACACAATCCGAACCGATGATTAAGTGTCATCAGATTTTCTGTTTTGTCGAGATCGTCTCTGTCGACTCCATGACCTGAATATGGACGAGAAAGCTGAACAAGCGGTAATCAAATGTTACGTCGAACCTCAATTTATGCTTAAGCGACATTTTAGATGCAAATTGTCGGTTCTAAAGTAATTTCCCTTGTTTAGTGTCATTATACCGTACAAAGACAATTCCGAATGGTGAATGACTATTGCTTGTCAACTATTATCTTGATGACCTTTCCCGTACTATTATCGTTGTAATGGATCACGATTGAAAGGTGATTGGAGTTTTTCCATTTGGATCGCTTTTGTGGTATTTATATGTTAATGTGTTTGTTTTTCAGATTAAAACATATTGTAACTAATGTAAACGAGTAAGACATTCACTTTTCTGCTTATCTCAAGTATAGTCAACGTAAATAATCTATTAAGTTGCTTAAACGGAGCTGGTCGAGTAGAAGAGCGAAGAGCTTCGGTTCTCAAGGTCTTGGGTTCAAATCCCTCCAATCAATTAGGCCTATGACTTTTATGTGTGTGTATGCCGTTACCCTAGGCCTAGCCTGAAATGGTTCATGCAGTGTAACGGTCTAGGATGAAAAGGTTAGAAAATACTACGTAAATTATTATGGAAGACACTTTCCATTTGAAATTACTTACACCCCAAAAAAAAAAAAAAAACAATAAATAAATAAAAAATCCTCATTCAAGTTTATCCCGATTTACACCTTCAAACGAAATTTCATCAAAATCAAACAAAAATTATTTAAGTTATCGTGTTCACGGACATATATATACATTTTAACGAATGGTTGTTATTGCCTCTGGGGACATCAAAACGAACGAGTAAATCGGTCCCGGGCCTAGGTCTTACAATGCCACCTACGGTAATAGCTACTTCCCTTTATGGAAATTCGCTAAAACTCAAGATAGGGATAAATTCAATTGAAAATTTTCTCCGTTTAGTAAATGCAGTTCCTAAATACAGGTAAGGACTTTGAAATTGTGTTAACAATTTCTTCAAACGAGTATTCGAACGAATTTCATGCTAACGAAAGGCCAGGTCCAAATTCACCAACATTTTTGGGGTCGTTTCTAATGTCCAAATTCACCAACTTTCTACCTTTAGCAGGTACGATATTTCTCCCGGCGGGCGGGGAAGGAATTCCCTCCGAATAGTTTGCCATCGCCTGCTCCGTCTCGTCTCGGCGAGAGTTTACTGTAACCTAACCTAACCTAACCTAACCTAACCAAACCTAACCAAACCTAACCAAACCTAACCTAACCTAACCTAACCTAATCTAAAGCTGCCTGAAACAATCACAGCTTAAACAGTACTATTACTATACTATACGTAAACAGTACTATATACTATACTTAAACAGTAGGGCTAAGCAGTACACTCTCGCCGAGACGAGACGGAGCAGGCGAGGGCAAACTATTCGGAATTCCTTCCCCGCCCGCCGGGAGAAATATCGTACCTGCTCCAGGTAGAAAGTTGGTGAATTTGGACATTAGAAACGACCCTAAAAATGCTGGTGAATTTGGACGTAGCCTAATGAAAAATGTGTTTTAACTTATCAACACAAGTTCAAAGTTGAAAAATCGTATAACATCAGTGCAACTCATTAGTGAAATGTTAACATATAATCTCGAAATCACTCTCAATCACGGACAAAATATATGTTCAGTAGAATAGATGTGTTATAGATATCCCAAGAACAAAACAACCTTCGCAGAAACGAAAAGATCACGTGGTTCGCGCAGGTAGGTGTGGCGACCATTCAAACCTGTGCGGCTCGAAACGGCCCAGGGTTCTTTTGTTTCTGGTATTACTACAACAACCAATGTTTGAAAAATGCAAATTTCTTAACTTTTGTTCTAGGCTTTGGTATTGTTGATAACTTTACTTATATAAAGCAACACAATTTTCATCAAACAAATTTAATATTGTACTGTAATATCATAAAACTATCTTCATCACAATTCAAGACAAAACAGAATCAAAACATAAATAAACAACAATAACAATAAAAATAAAGAACGTATGTTATTTAACATATGAACATTACCAACATCTTCCTTTTTCCAAAAAAATGTGTTTAAGTTCTTAAATAGTGTATATTTCGAATGTAATCTTTTCCTTCCACGCGCACAGTGTACTTTCTCATCCCTTCCTTTCGAACAACTTTACCCTCAAGCCATGTCGCATTCTTCAGTTGGAGTTGTTTCTTTAACCACACGCTTTGGCCAATCGACAATGGAGGCAGTGGTTCCATGGTCATACTGACTTTTGTACTGTCTCTTTTTACGTTCCCATAGATTCTGAACATTTTGTGGAACTTGTGGCTTCAGTAAGCTGTTATTTATTAGCAGTTTACTTTGTGTTCTTCCATAAAACTATCTTCATCACAATTCAAGACAAAACAGAATCAAAACATAAATAAACAACAATAACAATAAAAATAAAGAACATGTTATTTAACATATGCACATTACCAACAGGTATATACATATTTATACACCAAAGCTTAGAGTAAGGTTGCTAAGCTAAACTGTAGTTTAAGTTTCAAGGCATAAATACATTATGGAGTAGTTGGCGCGATTGAATATTAATAGGTTGTGACCGACAGCCTACAGCGTGGACTTAGGCAAAGGTAAACATCGTGGAGATGAGGGAAGTTGGGACACTTCGTTTGGACCAGAGAAACTGATCGGGGAAAGTGGAGTGGGAATAAAATATTAGGAATATGCCGGTATAGAGTTTTATTGTGCCATAGATAGACCACTCTCTTTAGTATGTGATATTACTAAATAAATACACTGTAGCTTTATATATAGGTCCCCATATTTTGTATGATCTGTAATATAGTTGTACACGAATTTTAATATTATCATTTCACATGCTTCGTTACGAAACAATATTTTCAACGCTTGCAACATCTTCAACACGTCGTTAAAACTTACACTACACAAACTTAAAAAAACGGAGAAGTAACTTTTTAACTAGGTGTTTACAAACTTGAAATCATTGAAAGTAATGATTTAGTTATGAAAAATAAGAGTCATTTCAACTGAGTAGTCGAGGAACTATTTGACATAGGTTAAGTAGGAACTGTTTTTATCTTTAAATAATATAGGGACCCGAAGCCTAAGTTTTGATTTAGTGTCGAATAAATAGTGCAACATATTATATGTATATCTGATTCGTTAAACTTGATTCTATTAAGAACTCTGGCTTTAATTTTAAGAAATGACTTGAACCAAACAGATACCTAGTGACGATTTTCATCAAAACTTAAGTTTGTTACGTACTATTGTTATACAAACAGCGTAAAACCTTAACAATTCGTTGATGTTTGACCCGAAAATGTTTCACTCAAATGAATCAAATGTTTCAGTCAAAGAATCTAGAACCAAGACGGAATATTTATCGGAAACATATTTACATGCGTATAAATATTGGGATACATACTTAAAAATTGCACATTTGATGAAAACGAAAAACCCTTTACTGTAGGAAAAGAATAAAACTTAATTTGACTTAAGAAAGGTGCAACACCAACGACAACGGAGTGACTAGTGATCTGCATCTGACCTAAAAGTGATTCTCGCTACCACCACGGCGGATACAGTAGTATGAACTCCATGAGTAGAGTATCATAGGGATGAAACGAATACTTAAATTTGTATCCAACAGAGGTTTTAGACGTACTTCAAAGAATAAAACAAACATTTTCAAATATCACCACTTACATCTATCAACCACGTCATCTTTCAGGAAAAATAGTTTTTTACAGTAATTACTTCAGTTCTTTATGCTCTTGCATATTATTTACTGTATGTTTATGGTACAGACTGTGGTGTTAGAATCAACTGACCTTAGACATTATGAAACATTTAAATTTAGTTTTATACCCTTTTCTAAAATTTTAGTTTAAAGTATACCTACTAAGTAGATCAAGGCTTTACACAGGGTAGAAGGTGTAATTGAGTACACGAACAGGTGACAATCACTAAGATTTAGATACCGAATTATTCTGAAAAGTAGGGTATAATCTAGATCTATCTATTTCACAGACCCACACAGTGTAGACTAACAATGACTGGCTCGTAACACTATTTGTAACGTCTGGCTAGGTATACTTGGCTCTGTCTCCTGGCTCGTTGTACAGACTGTCAGCTACATCTGGTGGCTCACATGACTCAGGTGACTAACAATTAGCTAACAGACTATGGTCGATGTAGTCAGTTGCTGCCTAGGGACTATTCATGATTTCCCTCTTCTCCCTTTCTTGAATTCTATTCCCTTTTATTTATTTTCCTTTATATTTCAGACATTATTAATTTTAACTCCAAAATCTCACAAGTTTAAAATGGCCATGACATCCGAGTTACAAATGACATTTAACGTTTACATGAGGACAGTTGGCGAGCAGGTTACCTGCCTCAACTTGGAATACACTAGGAGCATGTAACCTGTCCAGTAAAATGCCTGCCTGTTGGCCTAGTGTAAACGTGGCTTCAGTATTATTAACAACTATCTGTAATTTACAACGATTCAGTCAATCTTTTGAAACTGGAAATTAAAACCACGTCAAACTGCAAAGCAATATTTGTGTCATGGAGATATATATCAGTTAACCTTTTTTAGATATATATTACTATACGCCTGATAATAGACCAAAGTCCAAATTTGTATCCCATTTTAAATGATTTGCAGATTTTACATTTTCTACCCTGACATTGAGCCCCCTCCGACAAACTCGGATTGGTAAAGCCGGGTGAGGGGAGTGATTTTTAAGCCACGTTTAGTGATTTTTTTATGGAGTACGAAATAACGAAACAGCTAAAAATAAAATAAAATTATTTTATTATTTGTAATTATGAGTTTGTTGAGGATGACAAGTTTACTTGCACTGTTTAAATTCTATGGGAAAACTGCGTTTTTTTTGTTTTTTTTTTTGCTCAATGTTTAAGGAAAACGAGTTCACCCCCGTACATATAAATAACAAACAATATTTCCTAATATTATATACATGTTATATCACAACTCTCGAGTACTAGCTGAACGGATGTCATAAGGCTGTGTTAGATAACTCGCATAACACTAGTATATAAGCCTGCGGTCTCTTACCATTGCTACACTCATCTCCACGACCACAGGACAGCAACATGCAGAGTCTACTGTCACTGGTACTGGGGTTGACTACCATCATAGTCGAGGGACATGACTTCAGCAACCATCACCACCACGAGGTGAAGACCATCACGATAGAGAAGGAGGTGAAGGTGCCGTACCCGGTCCACGTGGAGAAGAAGGTACCGTACCCTGTCAAGGTGCACGTCGAGAGGCCGGTCCCCTATCCTGTGGAGAAACCTTACCCTGTGACTGTGGAGAAGAAAGTGCCTTACCCGGTCAAGGAGTATATCCCTAAACCTTACCCTGTCGAGAAGAAGATCCCTTTCCCTGTGAAGGTTCCTGTGGTGAGGCCAGTACCCGTGCATATCCCCAAGCCTTACCCCGTCTACGTAGAGAAGAAGGTGCCCTATCCTGTAGAGAAACACATCCCTTACCCGGTCAAGGTGCATGTCCCCCGGCCTGTCCCCTATCATGTTCCTGTTGTCAAACACGTGCCTTACACCGTCGAGAAGAAAGTTCCTTATCCCGTCAAGGTGCCAGTTGAGAAGCCAGTCCCCTACCCTGTGGAGAAGCCTTACCCCGTCTACGTAGAGAAGAAGGTTCCCTACCCGGTGGAGAAGGAGGTGCCGTATCCAGTCAAGGTTCCGGTTCACATCCCGGTCTATGACCATGAGCACAAGTATCATGAAGAACACCATTTCGGAGGACATTACTTAGGAGGGCATGACTTGGCAGCGTTACATAATCACAAACAATGGGACCGTGGTGTTCAACATTCCTTTTAAGTACAAATTTCCCCTAACTGTACCTGAGAAAATTATACCAAGAAATATTTGAAATATACGAGTATAAGCCTCCTAATTAGTTTTTGTAATTAATTGTTCCTGTAAGCACTAAACGAATTGCAGTTATTAATAATATTCATGGTAAATTTAACAATCATCTCATAAGTTAGCGATGTATGCAATGTTACGATTCAACAGATGCGTTGGTTTTATCACTCTTCGGCCTACAATACTGAGATCAATTTTGTCAAAAATATATTTATTATTTAAATTTTCGTAAATAACTATATCTACTCTTTATCTTTTGTAGGTTATGGAACGTGCATTGAAAGCACTTACGGTGTTTTACATTACATAATATCGTATATTATCATTATTCTTTTTGAGATCACTGGTTCTTGGATTAGACTAATTTAAAGCTTTGTTAATGACCAATACTTTCTGTAAAGTCCGCCTCATACTTTAGATTTAATTAGTAGTGGAAAGGCTAGACTCTTTGTTGGCTTGTAGCTTGATAATGAATGAGAGTACATGATCTCACAAGCCAGGTCATCGCTAATGATGAAATAAACCAGAGCCTCTGCCTTAGTTAAAACTATCGCTGCCATTGTTTATAAAGTTATTGGTTTAGGTTTCACTGCTCTATGTAAATTGACGTACACTCTTTATGATGCTTTTACACGTCACTTTCATGCGTATGCCACATGTGCAACATTCACATAATTCATTAGGATTTCGTTCACAATAACATTTTGAACTACGATCTCAGATGGATGAACTACATAAACAAACTATTATTGAATTGTATAGATGGAAACAAGTCTGTCTTTAAAGTTGGACCACTTTTAGTTCAAAAGAAAGTTGATTACTAATTGGTTCAGTTCAGCCGTGTAACAGATCAATACATTGTTAGGTATAAGAAAATCAAGCAAGTCCATAGTAAAAACTTTTTTACAATGCCACATATTTATTTTCCCGAGTTTTGAACAACGGTGAAACAGTGAAATTGTTGTATATTTTTGTACGAAACACGGTTTTTAGTGGATAGGAGCTATGTTTTATATCATTGCTTATGGTAATTGTGATATAAATATTTTGTCAGTAAGTAGCAATTAAGAAAAGTATTCAATTCCTGAACTAAAGCCAACATCAGCATGTAACCTGTGTGGCGCCAAACCTACTTTGCAACAATAGGACAAATCATACAGTTTACATATTTTTGAAAGAATGGTTCGTTTGAATTTCGGTTTGGGTTATTGCTTTATGATGGTTTAAAAACAATGCTTTGTGATTTTGTTTTGGAGTGAAGGAAATTAATTGGCTGTGTTAAATTTAATGTATTAAGAAACTACGATTAGATTTTTTTAAATTAATTAATACATGTCCTTGAATATCTTAATAGTCAATGATTCGTTTTCAAAAGTTAGATATCCATAATAAACTGTTCCTTTTTAGAAACTGTAATTTGTGTTACGGTTAATCTGTTGAAGACATGTTGCGAATCAAATTTAGGTTACAAGTTATAGGTCTTCGTTGCCAAACCAGTAACTTTAAATTATTTCCCTTTAAATGCACTTCCAATTCAAGATTCTCTATATGTTTATTTGTGAAATACATAAAAGACCAAGTTTAAAATTAACAAATGATTCTGTTAACTACAATTTTTATAAAACGGAACGTAACCTCAACTAAAAGATTTAATTAGCGAATTTTCTGAAAAAAGTGTTGATTCTCAAACATATTGTTTGTATTTTAGTACTTAAAACAACTAGTTTGTTTTGAATTCCATTTTACACCAATTGTAAAATGGCAGAAAATTTAAAATCGCAAATGAAGTGGGTTTGATTTCCAACTTTAAATATGGTAAACAGGGTTACGTGTTAAAATGATAAGACCGTATGCAAGTAATTATTATGAACTTGTTTCATAAATTTATTTATTATATTAAATGTTATTTAAAGATAATCGGTTAATCTCACTCCGTTCATTATGCCAATCGTAGATGATAATGTTGGACTAATTAAGGGGAATCGTATAATAAATACATTCAAAAATATGTGATTTGTTTTTGAATGTAATATTATTATAACTAAACATAAATAAAACAATACAGTTAACCATTAAAGGACCGACTAGTACCACTCTGGTTCTATAACACCTTATGGCGTTTTATTTATTACCCAGGTTCTTGTATTGAAGCTAAATTTATCAAAAAAACAACAATACTTACCCGTCAGAACTGAGCAAAGGTGCGCGCCACAATTATTTCACACAAAGCAGTCAAAGCACTACGCCAAGCCATCACAGAATTGTATGGAACTTTTTCAGTAATTTCAAATGGAAATGCTGTGATTAGAATGTTCTCTGTTTAGAAACCCGCTCTAAATAGAGGGTTACCTGAATTAAAATCATGTATTTATTAAGAAACATACAGTATTTAAAATATACTGTATTCGTCGACCTACTGCAAAAATTAATAAAATAGGAGAGGACCCTTGCACCCATTACGCTTTTCAATAGGGTTCAAAACCCGTATAATATGCGTACCAAATACTGCAATACTTCTTCAAAAGATGATGCTTGTTTATAGTTAAGTGAATCAATATACTAATTTACCGATTCTGAATAAATTACATTTTCGTGCCTCAATCATGGTACAATTATCACCAAAATTATTCACGGTCACATTGAAGTCTCGGCTAGTTGTGTAGTCCATTTCCTTAAACTGTGTCCCTTGTTTACTATCTGACTGTGGTTAAAAATTCAACTGAAGTATCAGCTTTCCTAAGTACAATTCTTTTTTGCAACTAATTATTAATCAATAAAATAAAAGGATTAACTTATCCAACCACAGTTGCTGGTATGACAAATAGTTTAGTTTCTTAGAACTTCGTCAGGTCATTGTATGCAGCCACATCAAAAAAAGTACTACTAGCAACCGTAGTTGAATTCCAATCAAGGGTCACAATGAATAACAATTGTTAATTATTGATTATCGAGATGGGGACGCCACCTAGGTGAGTATTTTAAGCCTAATATGAGTGAAGGATAAGTGTAGAATGGATTGAGATGATCTGTGCAGCATTTTTACTGACTAAGTTGTAAAGAAAGTTGATCAGCATCACTGGATCTTTGAAAGTGAACTCCAGAAATAAATTAAATTAGGCTAGTGGGACGAAGCCCTAAATCAAATCACATTTTGTCTTACCATTCGCTACTCCGCTAGATCATAAGCTTCGAAATAACACATGAATTGTAAAGATATGATCAGTAGGACGAGAGGAATATGAATTTAATAGAGACAAAACTTTATTCTATTTAATATCTATAACTTCATGACATTCTAAAATTAATTAATGGAAGAATAATTGTGGATACATATGAATGTTCCGCTAAATATTGTAAGGATTAAGTAATGTAAATACTTATGGACATCCAGTTATATTACTGCAGATAAATACGCAAAAAATATGGGCGTTTACAAAAGAATCATCAGGTTTTAATGGCATGTACCTCACTCAATTCTTGTCCAACATTAATATTTTAAACATGGGCTTAAAAAACATGTTTCCAAATTTTATAATCAGCTATTCATTAATCAGTCTTGGGGTTTTCTTGGACGAGTTTGCATCATTTAAAAATTATTACAGTTCAAGAAAAAACATTTTGACGATAATGACTCGACCCTTCTCAAATGGCCCCTTAGATCTCCTGATCTAACGGTGTGTGATTTTTTTCTATGGGACTACGTGTGTTAAAGACAAACTTTATGTACCGAAAATGCCTCAAACGCTTCAAGGGCTCCGTGGACGAATTCCCAATGCCGTAGCAGATTATACAGATTATGTCTATAGATTCAATCAACCTTGCGGTGCTAGCCGGTGTAAGGGACAATTTACAACATAGATTCGAAACTTGCTCCGCAGCTAATGGACGGTACATTGAGCACTTGTAGGGGTATCTATGAAAAATTTAAGAGTTCTACTTTCTGTTGATATATTTTATATCCGTATTTGTTTAACAATAACGTCAATAAAATGTTTTAAAACCTGATGATTCTTTTATAAACGCCCTGTATTTTACCATACAAGGTAGTATAAAGTATTAGTATTCACCGTAGCCTACTGTGTTGTCGGAGCCTCATATCTGGCCCTCCTCCAAAGTTCTATACTCTCCGTCATTTTTTTACAAAGCTATGATGTATATCGTTGCTTTGTAAAAGGTTTGAGATATATATATATATTCCAACCAGAGCTATGTTCATTCATATTCAATTCCAATTTCTAAACCAATTTATGATGTACGATGTTAAAAAAGTGGTAACTATGTATGCTTCCTTGAAATAAAGCTGCAAACCAATATCCTGAAATTCAATTAATTATAAATTTGTAATTTGTAAGCTGAGGATTAATCATACATTGCATTTATCATATCACGTTTAACTTATAGAAATTAAATACTTTGACAAAGTCTCTCATCATATTTAGTATATAATTTGTGTAATGATATTTTTATAACTTCGTTAAAAACTTTATTTTAATTACAAAGAATTATCGTATTCAATTCTGAAACAAATCAGCTTAAATTAATCAACAGACATTTTGATTACAGTACAAACACAACTCCACAATATCCTATTATGAAAAATTTATAAATATGTATTTCATTTAGTTGTAAAACCTAACAGTGCAAACAAACCATCTTACATAACTTAAGGACCTACAACTCCTTGTATCAAAATAAAAGCGTCCGTGAAGCAAATGGATTGCTTCCTATACAGTGAATAACCAACCACTTCACAAATGGAGAGATTCAATCTTTCACGAGACTCGCTGGACGTGCTGGCTTCAAACTAAGTCTGATCAGGTTGTATTATTTATCGCTTGGATAAAATAATGAAAATAACTATAGTCTACGAATTTGTCCTAAGTATAACAAATAAACGGCCTTATTTTATGGATAATTAGTAATGTCTACGTAAAGACATTCTGTATATCTAA